GTTGTTTCCAGAATAAAAAAAGTGTTTTCATACCAGGACTGCCCCTTTCCTAGGCATTTCATCAGCCCCTCCGGTTTCTTATTTACACTTCCCCCATAGTTTCTTCCCCGTCCCGAAGGTGGAAATCCTTAAAGGGAGGACAAAATGCCCCCAAAAAAAAAAAAAAAAAAAAAAAAAACAATATAATACAGATATATACAAAACAGCACGTTCTGAACTAAACCTAAATGGAAGACTGCGCAGAGGTAACTCAAAATATAAGGTTAGAGGTTAAGATTCAACCCCGAAGCAAGCACCAATGGTTTGAGAGGTCGCGGACGAATGGCAAAAAAAAAAAAAAAAGGGTAAACAAAGCTCAGAAAAAGGAAATTCTCCACCTCCTGAAAACCTTGTTCCATACGAGCTCATATGTAGAATGGAATCGTTTCCAGAATCAGGTCTTGCTGGCACAGGTGAAACTGCCGTGGATAGCCGTTTCCTCACTGATGAATTTCCCAGAGACGTAGAGACCAAAGATGCACTGTTCGTTCGTGGAAATAGTTTTGTTAGGAATTTGTTTACAGTTGGTATGCTTAAGAGATTGTAGGTCGTTTAAGTATGAAGTGAACTTACAACGAAGATGCCACTACCGACGCAGAAGATGTTGACGAAGGTGACCATTATCTTTTTCGGGCTGGAGAAGTAGCGGCCTTTGTCCAGGTGGAGCCCGAACCAACCGTTTAAGGCAACTATTTGGTCGCATTCGTTAGTTACCAACTTTAATACTGGATGAAATGGAGGGCAGGGAAAAACGAGAAAATAAAATTGGGGGTTGGGCTAAGCGCGGCTACTTACGAGTAAACCAACTTGCGAAGAGGGCAGTCTGTCCGAGTAAAATCCGTTTTGTTAGTTTATCTGCTATTGTTATTCCCGCCACCAACCCTCCCTGTTTCCTAAGAAAAGGGAATAAAACACTTACGATCAAACTGAGAAGATTGTTGAAACCGGGGATTGATTCTGCGATGATCCAGGCCATGAGCCAGAGAAAAACAGCAATACCAACCCATGCGCCAATTGAAGCGAAGCTTCGTTTCGACATGCGATCTGTGCCACGGAATAGCCGGACGTATACGTATTTGCAGGCGACATGTCCGTTTATGACGCCGGCAATAACGATCTAGAGCAGTTGTTAACTAGGAGCGATTGTGTTCGTGTTTTTTATGTTGAGGGCTTAAACATACAGTGGGGAACGCGACCCCATATGCAATCTTGCTAACAACAGGCCCCGTTGAGCCTAAAGCTGGCGATGCAACATCCCTTCCAGCAAAACAATAGATGACGACAGCAGCGATTGTGTAAACGATGGTGTTGGTTGTCTGGAGAGTAAGCAGGGATTTGGTGTAATCGCGAGGGTTTTGGAGCTCAGATGCAAATCCGAAGAATGCCACGTGGCCCGCTGTATAGAGAGGAACGAATAATTATCAGCATTGAATACAATACGATATACAAATCCCTCTTCGATAGGAGAACGACTTACAATACGCGAAGACAATATTGCTAGCTGCCAAGAAGCCGCGCGCAAAAGTTGTCTTTACAAACAAATCAATGCCAGTGCCAACTCGTTGAATGCCGAGTGCTACCATTGTAATCATCACAGCACTTATAATACTAGAAAACGCTGCAGTTAAGATAACATTAGTTAATGATTGACTTGAACATAATTCAATTGAAAATTCTCTGGAGCTTTTTCAAAAGCTTGAGAGGAAAATATTGGGAAAATTAGGACAAGGGAACTCACATATGATAGACAACCAAGAAACCTTCTGAAGTGTTCGGGGTAGAGTAAGAATTAATGAAATCAACATTCCAATAACGCCGAAAATAATACCGCATGTTCTATTATTCGAGAGAGTGTCCATCAGGACGACAAATGTAAGGAGATGGCTTCCCATGATGAATATTAGGAAGAGTAGTTGTCCAGCGCCGAGGAACTCACGGCCAAATCGGCCCATAAGAATCTCTCCGGCGTCAGCCATGCTATGGACATTCGGATAGGCAGCTTTAAATTGGCCGATTGTGTAGCCGGTGTACGTTGTCAGAAGGCCAACGAAGATGAGAACAAGAATAGCACTAAAAGCCGGAACACGAAATCGTTAAAAGATGTCGAACAAAGAATAATATATTTAATACTGGTGGGAGACAAGCGTGGACTCACGGTACTAGGCCCAACATCGCGACTGCTGATGGGAGCGCCAGAATCCCTAGAGACATCGTCTCCGCGATCATGACTACGGTCATATGTCAGTACAGTGCTTCTTTTTCTTATGCACTTGGTAAAAAGGCCAACGGGGATATGGCTTTCATACGTAGTCCACATTGCCTAAATCGAGCACCCAGGGATCATCAGTAGATGTCATTTGACATTTTTTTTCAAGGCTCATGTTGGAAGATAGGTATGTAAATGTAAAATCATGGAGGACCAAGATAACTTACCACCACGTTAAGACTTTATATCTCACATCGGCTGTCTCCTCATTTCCGAAGGGATCAATAACCTCCTCGACGGTCTCCTTCTCGATTGATGGAATGGAAGTTATATGGTCGATCTCAAGCTTCTTGACATCTTCATTACTCCTCTCAAAATCACGACAGACTTGTACCTCCTCGCCTTCAATCGCAATGGCCATTCTCTTATTATTTCAAAAGCGAGAGAAAAGGAAAGAATGAAAACAACAGGAACAGCAACAGTAAAATGAAAAAGGAAAAATGACTTGATAAAAAGGAGAGAGACCCGATCTTTCAGCTAGTAACTGGGCGTCAGCATCGGCATGCGAATTACCAACGTCGGGCTAAGTCGTTGGCTCTAGAAAATGAACGATGATTCTAAAGAGAGTGTGGGGTAGAGGAGATATAAGCAGTCGGTGAACAAACGGCCAAACGACGGAAAGCTAAGAATGAAACAAAGGTGTATAGAGTGACCTTTGGCGCCAGTGGGACTCTCCGTTCAGCCGTTTTCGGCTCAAATCATACTTTTGAGCTAAATGAAAAGACATCGGAAATGCCCAACCACCTTTCCATTTCCACCTTGACATGGGCGGTTTAAACTGTGATCATACGCGGCCTCAAATTATTTGACTCCCAACTCCTCGTTCCAGCTGGTGACAATGGTGGGGTAGAGCGCGCGGGGCCCATCGCTAAGTAACCTGCTCTCTGTCCTCTCCCTCGGCGTCCTTGCCCATCCATATTTCCACCCGTTTCCGGCTTCTAGGCTGCACTCCG